TGTTAGCACGAGACACTGTTAACATGAGACACTGAGACTCAGAGACACAGATTAGCTGTTTATTTGCTAACAGCGGCTCAGTTAGCTTCTCTCCCCACACAGAGACCCATTGGGATTTGTTCTATTAAAAGTCTTATTTACCCACAAGTGGTTTATTTAAGATAGAAACATTAACGTCACACATTGATCTGCTCTAATCTTCCAGGTGGTTTCAAACTGCTGGACTCTATTATGCAGCATGAGCCGACAAGGACGTCCTCTGTGTTGTTCCTCAGTGAAAGAGGACCGTCTCTCACATCCTCCAGTAAGACTGAGCCTCAGAACTTTGCAGAAACTCTGCCCGCAGAGATGAGCGTGAAGATCTTCGGTGAGTTGGACACAGAGAGTCTGTGCAGCGCCTCGTGCGCCTGCAAACTGTGGCACGACATCATCGAGGAGAGCGAGCAGCTGTGGAGGAGTCAGTGTCTGCTGCTCAGAGCCGTCTGTCAGAGGGAGGTGGACAGTGACCGGAGAGACGGGCTGTCCTGGAAGGTTGGTGGACAACAAACAAATCAAAGAACATTTGATCTCTTGACCTTTTTTTTTTCTCCTCGGTTCATTCAAAACGTCCCCACCTATAAAATGATGAGGATACCTGTCCTGTCCTCTGATTGGCTGCGGCTTCCTCTGTGCAGGTGACGTTGGTGAGGAACTACACCCGCAGCTGCGTGAAGAGAGATTGGCTGAGAGGAAGATACAGTCACGTGAGGTCAGCGGAGGAGCTGAGCGGCAGGAGCATGACGCCGCTTGACGTTGAGACGTGGGGAGAGATCCTGGAGGCCGAGTTAGACAGATGACGGTTCTTATTGAATACACCACGAGACTGCAGGGTGTCTCATCTTCTGTGTATATTTTGTATTTTATCACAAAAACATGTTTTTTACTTTTTTAAGAAAAATAATCGTGCACAAAGAGAATGAATCAAATGAAACAGTAACTTTACTGGTGAATGGTTCTCTTCAGCTGTTTCATTGATTTGATGTAAATATGGAATAAATCTCATTGTTGTGAAACTCATGAAGCAGATTATTAAACAAGCAGATTATTAATGAGACACATTATTAATGAGGCAGATTATTAAACAAGCAGATTATTAATGAGACACATTATTAATGAGGCAGATTATTAATGAGACACATTATTAATGAGGCACATTATTAATGAGGCAGAGACAGAAAATCCCTTTAACCAGAATAAACC